AAACAAAGATCTGAGAACTCGGGTATATTCAAGCATAAAATAGAATATTAACTTACACATCAAAATACACATTGCATGCTTCTAAGGTATGAACACACAATGCCATTTAGAAAGTGGTCAAATGTAACAAATGTAATATTTTGGATAACACTTTCGCAGTAAAGTACACATTATAGAACATTTTTTGGTTGAGTCCGATCCAGGATTCGAGCCACAACTTAAGGCTTCCTTGGTGGCTGAGAGGGTTAGATTGCTGACTTTGTGTGCTGGCGATGATTAGGTGCCTCACTCTGGCAGTGTGGGTTCGAATCCCAGATGGGATTCAACTCAAGAATCTGTACTTTACTGAGAAAGTGTTATCCGAAATATAACATTTGTTAAATGCTTCTCAGGGGTCGACCGTTTGATGTATTGGGAGAAGGGGGGAAGGGATATTTTAATGCTGAATACGAAACTTCCTCAGTGTTTAGCCCCCCTTTGAATATAGTTCACCAGAGCTACAGATAAGCAGCATATTTGTGTAAAAATACCCTCCAAAATATTCAAAACCCAATTACTTTCAATTAACTTGCATACAGAAATGCATGCATTAAATGAAAAACTCAATGTATAAAAACAGCATGCGTAAATAACCAATGAGGCTTTTTCAGCATGCATACAAATGACCTAATTTCCGAAACACAATTACGAGCTAATTTACTTTCCATGTCAAGACTATGTATTTAGAACATTAATTCATTTTTTCATAATCTTAAAATGTTCACTAATTTTTGGAAAAAAACAATAGAGTGATGAAAACATGAGTGAAAAAATATTAGTTACCCAATGAAAAATGTAATAACCCAATCAAAATGGAAACCCAAGAGTGAAAACCCAATCGCTCAAAAAGTTATCGCGAGCTCAGAGTTCAGTGGTCATAGTGTATTGTGGAACCACCCAAAATAGTTTGGTTCCTTCTTTAGAAGAAAACAAATGATATGTTTTGAAGCACTGACTGGAAGGATTAAGCACCCACTATAAGACCAAAAATGTACATGACGTTCTATATTTTCTTGTGCATCTTACAGATAAGTTACAGAATACAGCGAAGGGCTATGTGTGCCTTGAAACAATCATCGAGAACAGTCCAGTCTCATCGTTGTTTGAACTAAGTCACAACCGCTCGATCTCAGACAGCAATTTTTACTCATTTTGTGTGGTTTTAATAAGTGTCGTGGACTAACAATTAGTCCCAGAAAAAAGTTATCTTATTCAAAAATATTTATCTAAAAAAAACAAAAAAACAAATGGAGCCCAGAACAATGCTTCTTAGAGCTGAGGCAATCTAGACTTGCCAAATCATTCTAGACTTGAGTTGGATTCAATTTTCAGTTTATTCTCTAGAGTCTGAGATACAGGCAATAAGCGGCCCCTCTTGTCAACTTGTAGGCACTCAGGGCAAATATGGTGACTCTTATGATCCACATCACGAAACTTAATATTCAGTTATAAATAAACTCATAATTAGGAGCACAGTTACTTTTTAAGCTGTCAAGTTTGTCATCAAGTTATGACAGACAGCAACAATCTTAAAATCTAGAGGCAACTCTCGGTCACAGTAAGGAAGACAATCATTATAGGTCAAGGTCATGGCATGACCTAGTTCCTGAAAAAGGTCATTATTATTTTGATACTGTCCCATGTGTATAGGAGTGGATGTTTTGTGCAAACAGCACAACAAAACAACACTCAAACAACAATAACAACATCCAGGCTATAGGGCTGGGACGGGTAACTCGGGTACTCGGGTCGGGTGGGTCCTGAGTAGGACCCGGGTACCCACATGACTACCCAGACCCGTGGTTTGTCACGTGACATACTGTTTAATGACATTAACAATAAAACTCAATTGTTGCACTGCAAGTATAGCTAATGTTCACATTTCTTTCTCACTATGCAAGCCTTCGTTCTGACCTTTATATGTTCAAGTAAGGATAAAGCGTCTATCAACTGCAGATTATACATGTATACATGATCAGATTGTTTTATACATGTATCTAAATAGTTTTTGCCAGGGCTGCGGTAAAACAATTCCCATTCGGACATTTTGTACCCAACTCTTGAGACCTATAGCGGGTACCCGGGTAGGGCCGGGTAATAGGGTGGCGGGTACCCGGGTAGTAAATTTGGACTCGTCCCAGCCCTACAGTCTGATATTGATCAGGAGAGCCTAAACAAAACAAAATGTTAAGTCTGGCTTACGTTAAGAACAAGTGGCATCAACCAGTGATTCTTGTTGAAGACAAACGGTGACCAACAATAGCCTTATACAACAAGGCTAGTGTGACAGTCACGTTAGGCAAAAAAATATAAGTCTTGGTTCTCAGGCATGCCCGCATCATCATAAAGTCTGCCGCACGTTTCGTTTTTATTTCCACTTTTAAAAAAAATAATCTTAAGATATTCCACATCTTGAACACACGATCCCAGCAGTGAAATGCTACAATACTTACGAAAAACATGATTTTGTTGAAATTATTGTAAACAAAATTTGGTTACGTACTAGCTTGAACAACCAAAATAAAAAACACAAAAAAACACAGCCCACCCCCACTATATTTTAAAAAGCCATTGCCTGAAAACCAATTCTTTTATTGTTTTAAGCCTTAGACAAAAACAGGGCAGTGTATCGAGATATGTATCAATACATGAGGTAGGTGTATTGCAGCCCACCCAGAAATGATACACATGGTACAGGTGATACTCATGATACATACCGGGGGTACTTGATGCCATACATCAAAAGTCACCTTCTGCTATTCCAACAAGTCTGTGTTCCATTCTCCAGTGTGACTGTGTGAGGAGTTTAATGCCATATTACAGACGTACTGAATACCAGAACAGGATTAAATGAATATTGTTTTATGCCGAATCTGCAATTTTCCAGCTATTTGTGGCAACCGGAACAGGACAAGACACACTGCACCCGTGTTGGGAACTTAACCTAGGTCATATTACAGACGTACTGAATACCAGAACAGGATTAAATGAATATTGTTTTATGCCGAATCTGCAATTTTCCAGCTATTTGTGGTGACCAGAACAGGACAAGACACACTGCACCCGTGCTGGAACTGAACCTAGGTCTTCAGCGTGATGAGCAGGTGCTTCAACCACAAGGCCACCACTGCCCCCAGATGACAACAGACACAAATCAGACAGAAATCAGACAAAGTAAACTTGAGTCATTAAAACGAAACAAAGATCTGAGAACTCGGGTATATTCAAGCATAAAATAGAATATTAACTTACACATCAAAATACACATTGCATGCTTCTAAGGTATGAACACACAATGCCATTTAGAAAGTGGTCAAATGTAACAAATGTAATATTTTGGATAACACTTTCGCAGTAAAGTACACATTATAGAACATTTTTTGGTTGAGTCCGATCCAGGATTCGAGCCACAACTTAAGGCTTCCTTGGTGGCTGAGAGGGTTAGATTGCTGACTTTGTGTGCTGGCGATGATTAGGTGCCTCACTCTGGCAGTGTGGGTTCGAATCCCAGATGGGATTCAACTCAAGAATCTGTACTTTACTGAGAAAGTGTTATCCGAAATATAACATTTGTTAAATGCTTCTCAGGGGTCGACCGTTTGATGTATTGGGAGAAGGGGGGAAGGGATATTTTAATGCTGAATACGAAACTTCCTCAGTGTTTAGCCCCCCTTTGAATATAGTTCACCAGAGCTACAGATAAGCAGCATATTTGTGTAAAAATACCCTCCAAAATATTCAAAACCCAATTACTTTCAATTAACTTGCATACAGAAATGCATGCATTAAATGAAAAACTCAATGTATAAAAACAGCATGCGTAAATAACCAATGAGGCTTTTTCAGCATGCATACAAATGACCTAATTTCCGAAACACAATTACGAGCTAATTTACTTTCCATGTCAAGACTATGTATTTAGAACATTAATTCATTTTTTCATAATCTTAAAATGTTCACTAATTTTTGGAAAAAAACAATAGAGTGATGAAAACATGAGTGAAAAAATATTAGTTACCCAATGAAAAATGTAATAACCCAATCAAAATGGAAACCCAAGAGTGAAAACCCAATCGCTCAAAAAGTTATCGCGAGCTCAGAGTTCAGTGGTCATAGTGTATTGTGGAACCACCCAAAATAGTTTGGTTCCTTCTTTAGAAGAAAACAAATGATATGTTTTGAAGCACTGACTGGAAGGATTAAGCACCCACTATAAGACCAAAAATGTACATGACGTTCTATATTTTCTTGTGCATCTTACAGATAAGTTACAGAATACAGCGAAGGGCTATGTGTGCCTTGAAACAATCATCGAGAACAGTCCAGTCTCATCGTTGTTTGAACTAAGTCACAACCGCTCGATCTCAGACAGCAATTTTTACTCATTTTGTGTGGTTTTAATAAGTGTCGTGGACTAACAATTAGTCCCAGAAAAAAGTTATCTTATTCAAAAATATTTATCTAAAAAAAACAAAAAAACAAATGGAGCCCAGAACAATGCTTCTTAGAGCTGAGGCAATCTAGACTTGCCAAATCATTCTAGACTTGAGTTGGATTCAATTTTCAGTTTATTCTCTAGAGTCTGAGATACAGGCAATAAGCGGCCCCTCTTGTCAACTTGTAGGCACTCAGGGCAAATATGGTGACTCTTATGATCCACATCACGAAACTTAATATTCAGTTATAAATAAACTCATAATTAGGAGCACAGTTACTTTTTAAGCTGTCAAGTTTGTCATCAAGTTATGACAGACAGCAACAATCTTAAAATCTAGAGGCAACTCTCGGTCACAGTAAGGAAGACAATCATTATAGGTCAAGGTCATGGCATGACCTAGTTCCTGAAAAAGGTCATTATTATTTTGATACTGTCCCATGTGTATAGGAGTGGATGTTTTGTGCAAACAGCACAACAAAACAACACTCAAACAACAATAACAACATCCAGGCTATAGGGCTGGGACGGGTAACTCGGGTACTCGGGTCGGGTGGGTCCTGAGTAGGACCCGGGTACCCACATGACTACCCAGACCCGTGGTTTGTCACGTGACATACTGTTTAATGACATTAACAATAAAACTCAATTGTTGCACTGCAAGTATAGCTAATGTTCACATTTCTTTCTCACTATGCAAGCCTTCGTTCTGACCTTTATATGTTCAAGTAAGGATAAAGCGTCTATCAACTGCAGATTATACATGTATACATGATCAGATTGTTTTATACATGTATCTAAATAGTTTTTGCCAGGGCTGCGGTAAAACAATTCCCATTCGGACATTTTGTACCCAACTCTTGAGACCTATAGCGGGTACCCGGGTAGGGCCGGGTAATAGGGTGGCGGGTACCCGGGTAGTAAATTTGGACTCGTCCCAGCCCTACAGTCTGATATTGATCAGGAGAGCCTAAACAAAACAAAATGTTAAGTCTGGCTTACGTTAAGAACAAGTGGCATCAACCAGTGATTCTTGTTGAAGACAAACGGTGACCAACAATAGCCTTATACAACAAGGCTAGTGTGACAGTCACGTTAGGCAAAAAAATATAAGTCTTGGTTCTCAGGCATGCCCGCATCATCATAAAGTCTGCCGCACGTTTCGTTTTTATTTCCACTTTTAAAAAAAATAATCTTAAGATATTCCACATCTTGAACACACGATCCCAGCAGTGAAATGCTACAATACTTACGAAAAACATGATTTTGTTGAAATTATTGTAAACAAAATTTGGTTACGTACTAGCTTGAACAACCAAAATAAAAAACACAAAAAAACACAGCCCACCCCCACTATATTTTAAAAAGCCATTGCCTGAAAACCAATTCTTTTATTGTTTTAAGCCTTAGACAAAAACAGGGCAGTGTATCGAGATATGTATCAATACATGAGGTAGGTGTATTGCAGCCCACCCAGAAATGATACACATGGTACAGGTGATACTCATGATACATACCGGGGGTACTTGATGCCATACATCAAAAGTCACCTTCTGCTATTCCAACAAGTCTGTGTTCCATTCTCCAGTGTGACTGTGTGAGGAGTTTAATGCCATATTACAGACGTACTGAATACCAGAACAGGATTAAATGAATATTGTTTTATGCCGAATCTGCAATTTTCCAGCTATTTGTGGCAACCGGAACAGGACAAGACACACTGCACCCGTGTTGGGAACTTAACCTAGGTCATATTACAGACGTACTGAATACCAGAACAGGATTAAATGAATATTGTTTTATGCCGAATCTGCAATTTTCCAGCTATTTGTGGTGACCAGAACAGGACAAGACACACTGCACCCGTGCTGGAACTGAACCTAGGTCTTCAGCGTGATGAGCAGGTGCTTCAACCACAAGGCCACCACTGCCCCCAGATGACAACAGACACAAATCAGACAGAAATCAGACAAAGTAAACTTGAGTCATTAAAACGAAACAAAGATCTGAGAACTCGGGTATATTCAAGCATAAAATAGAATATTAACTTACACATCAAAATACACATTGCATGCTTCTAAGGTATGAACACACAATGCCATTTAGAAAGTGGTCAAATGTAACAAATGTAATATTTTGGATAACACTTTCGCAGTAAAGTACACATTATAGAACATTTTTTGGTTGAGTCCGATCCAGGATTCGAGCCACAACTTAAGGCTTCCTTGGTGGCTGAGAGGGTTAGATTGCTGACTTTGTGTGCTGGCGATGATTAGGTGCCTCACTCTGGCAGTGTGGGTTCGAATCCCAGATGGGATTCAACTCAAGAATCTGTACTTTACTGAGAAAGTGTTATCCGAAATATAACATTTGTTAAATGCTTCTCAGGGGTCGACCGTTTGATGTATTGGGAGAAGGGGGGAAGGGATATTTTAATGCTGAATACGAAACTTCCTCAGTGTTTAGCCCCCCTTTGAATATAGTTCACCAGAGCTACAGATAAGCAGCATATTTGTGTAAAAATACCCTCCAAAATATTCAAAACCCAATTACTTTCAATTAACTTGCATACAGAAATGCATGCATTAAATGAAAAACTCAATGTATAAAAACAGCATGCGTAAATAACCAATGAGGCTTTTTCAGCATGCATACAAATGACCTAATTTCCGAAACACAATTACGAGCTAATTTACTTTCCATGTCAAGACTATGTATTTAGAACATTAATTCATTTTTTCATAATCTTAAAATGTTCACTAATTTTTGGAAAAAAACAATAGAGTGATGAAAACATGAGTGAAAAAATATTAGTTACCCAATGAAAAATGTAATAACCCAATCAAAATGGAAACCCAAGAGTGAAAACCCAATCGCTCAAAAAGTTATCGCGAGCTCAGAGTTCAGTGGTCATAGTGTATTGTGGAACCACCCAAAATAGTTTGGTTCCTTCTTTAGAAGAAAACAAATGATATGTTTTGAAGCACTGACTGGAAGGATTAAGCACCCACTATAAGACCAAAAATGTACATGACGTTCTATATTTTCTTGTGCATCTTACAGATAAGTTACAGAATACAGCGAAGGGCTATGTGTGCCTTGAAACAATCATCGAGAACAGTCCAGTCTCATCGTTGTTTGAACTAAGTCACAACCGCTCGATCTCAGACAGCAATTTTTACTCATTTTGTGTGGTTTTAATAAGTGTCGTGGACTAACAATTAGTCCCAGAAAAAAGTTATCTTATTCAAAAATATTTATCTAAAAAAAACAAAAAAACAAATGGAGCCCAGAACAATGCTTCTTAGAGCTGAGGCAATCTAGACTTGCCAAATCATTCTAGACTTGAGTTGGATTCAATTTTCAGTTTATTCTCTAGAGTCTGAGATACAGGCAATAAGCGGCCCCTCTTGTCAACTTGTAGGCACTCAGGGCAAATATGGTGACTCTTATGATCCACATCACGAAACTTAATATTCAGTTATAAATAAACTCATAATTAGGAGCACAGTTACTTTTTAAGCTGTCAAGTTTGTCATCAAGTTATGACAGACAGCAACAATCTTAAAATCTAGAGGCAACTCTCGGTCACAGTAAGGAAGACAATCATTATAGGTCAAGGTCATGGCATGACCTAGTTCCTGAAAAAGGTCATTATTATTTTGATACTGTCCCATGTGTATAGGAGTGGATGTTTTGTGCAAACAGCACAACAAAACAACACTCAAACAACAATAACAACATCCAGGCTAGCTGGAACAAAGTGCAGTAGGACACGGATAACACTATCATGGATAGGGCGAACATAAGGATACAGCGGACAGTTACAAAATCTATCTTCTATATATTATCATATAAAATGCATGTATATAACAAACTCTACAGCGAGCTTACGTATATAGTGAACTGATATCTGATCCGAAAATTCCAAATACCACTAATTAATGATGTGAAAAGCGAACAGAGAAATCTCACCCAGCGTCAAATGTCACTGACAATTGGCTGTACGCAATCAGCGGCAAATCAACACAATCAGCGGTGACGATTCAAATTGGACAAATATTGTCTGTAAAATTAACATATAAATTTCACGAGATTACGTCAAAGTCGTCAGGTCACTCGTATTGTGTTTTGTTTTATCCAAGATGGCCGACCTTCCTGAGGCGAAATAAATATAACAAACTCATTTCTCCAGTCCCTTGTAGTTGATTATATCCATGTTCTACTGTAGTTACAAAATATATCAAACATTTTGCAATAATAAAATGGTTTTCCTTTCCTTAAATATATACGGCATATATACAAGTAAGCATGTTCAAAACTTATCCGAAAATCAGTGTTATTTTTGTTGTTGAAATAAGCATTGTCTAAAATTGTAGTGCACAAAGATCAAAATATTTAAAATACCAACGAAAGGTTTTCGATGTAAAAGTAAAAGTACCTCACCAAACGTATCAGTCCCCAGGAAAATGTGAAATGTCTTTGGAAGCAGTAAAAAAATGTCTGTTTGTTCAGACCCAAAATATACCATCATATTATTAATATGTTGCAAACTACAACATGAGACAGACATTTTTTGACTTCTAAGAAAATTATTTTAATGAACAAAATTGTCTGAATATCTTTCATAAGTAAGCAGAATTTCTCAAACATTTCTCAACATATCTTGTTCATAGTCATTATGTCATAGTGGAAGTCCCAGCGCTCATAACGAATATGAAATACTATCTCTGTCAAAAATATTTTTGTTAGGGATTTGTTATTTCGGGGTCACTAGAACATCTCAGTCACCATTAAGACAACAGTTGAAGTGGTGTCTTTCAAAAACAAGTCTTATTCATATTCATACAAACTTTAGAATGCATGTTTTTAATATTAAAAAAACCAAGTTGATTTGTTAAGAAAAAGAACCTGTACACATATTTCTCATAGACACTTGATTTTTTAAAAGTAATAGCTGTTTTAGAAGGAAATACTCGGAACAGCAAGCTACAGGTATTCATAAGTTTTGGGAGTAAATTTGATGGTATTGTTATACACATTCATTTCAAATATTCAGCTGATCAGCCAACAAAAATGAATAAATCTGCCACACATTTTACTGGGGACTGGTGGAAAAAAAAAGATCCCTCATAGCTTAAATATATTTAAATATGTACGACCCCCACGTGTGTGAAAACTTGATATCATTCCACAGTTGTTAGTGGTTGTCATCTGTTAATGAGATTCCCTGTGTCAGAGTTCTCTCCCCTTGGATGACCTCGACATTTGCGGAGCTGGTACTGTATGACCATGACGATCAGGGGCATGACACAGAGGACACACACTCCGGCCATGACGTAGGCCACCACGAGCAGGGTGCCACTCTGCTTGTCTGCTTTCTTATAGGCACATTGGCTCATCAGGTGCTTTTCTGAAACATACAAAAGGTGAAGGTCAACCCAAAATCGCAAGCCCAGGGCCCCATTCCACAAAGCGATCTTAGCGCTAAGGTGATTGTAACTCCCATTCTTTAACACTGACTTACGACAGTCGTAGCGCTAAGATTGCTTTGTGGAACGGGACCCAAAACATTTGTGGTTTGATCCCGGGTGCATCATACCTAGAGAATTTAAAAAAACGGTACTTGTTGTTACCCTGACTGATGCAAAGTGCAATTTTCTAACCATTTGTATCCACCAAACAAGACCATAGACACGCCCATAATTTTCCATGTCAAATTAAAATTCACATCAGAATATCCTCTGTTGACATTCCACAGTAATATATTTACGCTATAAACAAGACCGCTTCCATGGTGTAGTGGACAGAGTGTCTGACCAGAGAGTGGAAGGTCGTGATTAGATCCATGGCAACATACAAAACACATTACAAGATAGCACTTGATGTTACCCTGCCTGGCATGCGGCATTAAGGGGCTAAAAAAAAGGATTGGTCAGTATGCTGTGTCTGAGTGGGGTATTCTTGTTAAACCGAAGTGGTATTTCAATGGGCTAGCACCATAAAACTGGCATTAGTCTGGACTTGTACAAGAAGACACACACAAGTGCAGGCATGGCGCTATAAGTGCAATAATCTTGAAGGTGTCACAACATTAACTCAGTTCTACCACTACTCATTTAGATTCAAAGTCAGCTCAGAGTGGCAGGACCGGTTATGGACAATTTGTCTGACCTTTATATTGGATGTACTATATCACAGTAAGCCATGATAGCAACAGTACCTGTATTTGTGAAAGGGCCGGCGATTTTTGAGTCCGGACCTGCAGAGCTGGGATCTCTGGGAGGACATGTGGTCTCTGCAAAGCCGATCCGTTTCTGTTCCCGGTCAAATACCACATAGAAGCCCTCCATCAACACAGCTCCCAACACAGTACCTGGAGCAGACAGACAGGGTTCCGAGTTGACACAGACCGTGCAGACTGGCAGGGGTTAAACTTAGAAACACAAGCTTCCGTAGCTCACCTGACTTGTGAACAAATACTGTAAATCTTGAAATTAATGCGTCTCCAAAAGAATGCGACCACTGGACCCTAGCCAAAAATGAGACTCAATATGAATGCGACACCCCCTCCTCTCAAGCATTAGTGGATTTCTATCTAAAGATGTCCTCAGTCAGGTTTAGAATCCTCACCTTAATCCAACCTTACATTGATCCAATCACAATCCAAATAGCACCGCTTATTAGTACTGAGTAGAGTACTTCCACAAAAACAATACATGCGCGCTGGCTCGTGTCGGCCTTTGACTCAGTCGCAAAGAATAAAGGGTGGCGTCTGTCTGGACTTGCAGGTGTGATCAGTGATGACATAAGTGAGTAGAACTCTTGTCTTGAACCCAGCAGTGACAATTCACAGGACGTAATTAGTGTTTGAATGACATTGTTTATATACTTTATATACAACAGCTGTAGATTGACCCGCACTAAGCAGCAGAAAGCAACTCACAGGCTGTAGACAGACCAGCAGTAAGCAACTCACCAGCTGTAGACTGACCAGCAGTAAGCAGCAATAAGCAACTCACCGGCTGTAAACTGACCGGCAGTAAGCAGCAGTAAGCAACTCACCGGCTGTAAACTGACCGGCAGTAAGCACTAGTAAGCAACTCACCAGCTGTAGGCTGACCTGCAGTAAGCAGCAGTAAGCAACTCACCAGCTGTAGACTGACCAGCAGTAAGCAGCAGTAAGCAACTCACCAGCTGTAGACTGAGCAGCAGTAAGCAACTCACCGGCTGTAAACTGACCGGCAGTAAGCAGTAGTAAGCAACTCACCAGCTGTAGGCTGACCTGCAGTAAGCAGCAGTAGGCAACTCACCGGCTGTAGACTGACCGGCAGCAAGCAGCAGTAAGCAACTCACCAGCTGTAGACTGACCGGCAGTAAGCAGCAGTAGGCAACTCACCGGCTGTAGACTGACCGGCAGTAAGCAGCAGTAGGCAACTCACCGGCTGTAGACTGAGCAGCAGTAAGCAACTCACCAGCTGTAGGCTGACCTGCAGTAAGCAGCAGTAAGCAACTCACCAGCTGTAGACTGAGCAGTAGTAAGCAACTCACCAGCTGTAGACTGACCGGTAGCAAGCAGCAGTAAGCAACTCACCAGCTGTAGGCTGACCTGCAGTAAGCAGCAGTAAGCAACTCACCAGCTGTAGGCTGACCGGTAGCAAGCAGCAGTAAGCAACTCACCGGCTGTAAACTGAGCAGCAGTAAGCAACTCACCAGCTGTAGGCTGACCGGCAGCAAGCAGCAGTAAGCAACTCACCAGCTGTAGACTGAGCAGCAGTAAGCAACTCACCAGCTGTAGGCTGACCTGCAGTAAGCAGCAGTAAGCAACTCACCAGCTGTAGGCTGACCGGCAGTAAGCAGCAGTAAGCAACTCACCAGCTGTAGGCTGACCGGCAGTAAGCATCAGTAAGCAACTCACCAGCTGTAGGCTGACCTGCAGTGGGCAGCAGTAGGCAACTCACCAGCTGTAGGCTGACCGGTAGCAAGCAGCAGTAAGCAACTCACCGGCTGTAGGCTGACCGGCAGTAAGCAACTCACCAGCTGTAGGCTGACCTGTAGCAAGCAGCAGTAAGCAACTCACCAGCTGTAGACTGACCGGCAGTAAGCATCAGTAAGCAACTCACCAGCTGTAGGCTGACCTGCAGTAAGCAGCAGTAAGCAACTCACCAGCTGTAGACTGACCGGCAGTAAGCATCAGTAAGCAACCCACCAGCTGTAGACTGACCGGCAGTAAGCAGCAGTAAGCAACTCACCAGCTGTAGGCTGACCTGCAGTAAGCAGCAGTAAGCAACTCACCAGCTGTAGGCTGACCTGCAGTAAGCAGCAGTAAGCAACTCACCAGCTGTAGGCTGACCTGCAGTAAGCAGCAGTAAGCAACTCACCAGCTGTAGGCTGACCGGCAGTAAGCAGCAGTAAGCAACTCACCAGCTGTAGGCTGACCGGCAGTAAGCACCAGTAAGCAACTCACCAGCTGTAGGCTGACCTGCAGTAAGCAGCAGTAGGCAACTCACCAGCTGTAGGCTGACCGGTAGCAAGCAGCAGTAAGCAACTCACCGGCTGTAGGCTGACCGGCAGTAAGCAACTCACCAGCTGTAGGCTGACCTGTAGCAAGCAGCAGTAAGCAACTCACCAGCTGTAGACTGACCGGCAGTAAGCATCAGTAACCAACCCACCAGCTGTAGGCTGACCTGCAGTAAGCAGCAGTAAGCAACTCACCAGCTGTAGACTGACCGGCAGTAAGCATCAGTAAGCAACCCACCAGCTGTAGACTGACCGGCAGTAAGCAACTCACCAGCTGTAGGCTGACCTGTAGCAAGCAGCAGTAAGCAACTCACCAGCTGTAGACTGACCGGCAGTAAGCATCAGTAAGCAACCCACCAGCTGTAGGCTGACCTGCAGTAAGCAGCAGTAAGCAACTCACCAGCTGTAGACTGACCGGCAGTAAGCATCAGTAAGCAACCCACCAGCTGTAGACTGACCGGCAGTAAGCAGCAGTAAGCAACTCACCAGCTGTAGACTGACCGGTAGCAAGCAGCAGTAAGCAACTCACCAGCTGTAGGCTGACCTGCAGTAAGCAGCAGTAAGCAACTCACCAGCTGTAGGCTGACCTGCAGTAAGCAGCAGTAAGCAACTCACCAGCTGTAGGCTGACCTGCAGTAAGCAGCAGTAAGCAACTCACCAGCTGTAAACTGACCGGTAGCAAGCAGTAGTAAGCAACTCACCAGCTGTAGACTGACCGGTAGCAAGCAGCAGTAAGCAACTCACCAGCTGTAGGCTGACCTGCAGTAAGCAGCAGTAAGCAACTCACCAGCTGTAGACTGACCGGTAGCAAGCAGTAGTAAGCAACTCACCAGCTGTAGACTGACCGGCAGCAAGCAGCAGTAAGCAACTCACCAGCTGTAGAATGAGCAGCAGTAAGCAACTCACCAGCTGTAGGCTGACCTGCAGTAAGCAGCAGTAAGCAACTCACCAGCTGTAGACTGACCGGCAGCAAGCAGCAGTAAGCAACTCACCAGCTGTAGACTGACCGGCAGTAAGCAGCAGTAGGCAACTCACCAGCTGTAGACTGACCGGCAGTAAGCAGCAGTAAGCAACTCACCAGCTGTAGACTGACCGGCAGTAAGCATCAGTAAGAAACTCACCAGCTGTAGACTGACCGGCAGTAAGCAGCAGTAGGCAACTCACCGGCTGTAGACTGACCGGCAGTAAGCAGCAGTAAGCAACTCACCGGCTGTAAACTGACCGGCAGTAAGTAGCAGTAAGCAACTCACCGGCTGTAAACTGACCGGCAGTAAGTAGCAGTAAGCAACTCCCCAGCTGTAGACTGACCTGCAGTAAGCAGCAATAAGCAGCAGTAAGCAACTCACCAGCTGTAGACTGACCGGCAGTAAGCAGCAGTAAGCAACCCACCGGCTGTAGACTGACCGGCAGTAAGCAGCAGTAGGCAACTCACCGGCTGTAGACTGACCCACAGTAAGCAGCAGTAAGCAACCCACCGGCTGTAGACTGACCGGCAGTAAGCAGCAGTAGGCAACTCACTGGCTGTAGACTGACCGGCAGTAAGCAGTAGTAAGCAACTCACCAGCTGTAGACTGACCGGCAGTAAGGAGCAGTAGGCAACTCACCGGCTGTAGACTGACCGGCAGTAAGCAGCAGTAGGCAACTCACCAGCTGTAGACTGACCGGCAGTAAGCAGCAGTAGGCAACTCACTGGCTGTAGACTGACCGGCAGTAAGCAGTAGTAAGCAACTCACCAGCTGTAGACTGACCGGCAGTAAGGAGCAGTAGGCAACTCACCAGCTGTAGACTGACCGGCAGTAAGCAGCAGTAGGCAACTCACCAGCTGTAGACTGACCGGCAGTAAGCAGCAGTAAGCAACTCACCAGCTGTAGACTGACCGGTAGCAAGCAGCAGTAAGCAACTCACCAGCTGTAGGCTGACCTGCAGTAAGCAGCAGTAAGCAACTCACCAGCTGTAGGCTGACCTGCAGTAAGCAGCAGTAAGCAACTCACCAGCTGTAGGCTGACCTGCAGTAAGCAGCAGTAAGCAACTCACCAGCTGTAAACTGACCGGTAGCAAGCAGTAGTAAGCAACTCACCAGCTGTAGACTGACCGGTAGCAAGCAGCAGTAAGCAACTCACCAGCTGTAGGCTGACCTGCAGTAAGCAGCAGTAAGCAACTCACCAGCTGTAGACTGACCGGTAGCAAGCAGTAGTAAGCAACTCACCAGCTGTAGACTGACCGGCAGCAAGCAGCAGTAAGCAACTCACCAGCTGTAGACTGAGCAGCAGTAAGCAACTCACCAGCTGTAGGCTGACCTGCAGTAAGCAGCAGTAAGCAACTCACCAGCTGTAGACTGACCGGCAGCAAGCAGCAGTAAGCAACTCACCAGCTGTAGACTGACCGGCAGTAAGCAGCAGTAGGCAACTCACCAGCTGTAGACTGACCGGCAGTAAGCAGCAGTAAGCAACTCACCAGCTGTAGACTGACCGGCAGTAAGCATCAGTAAGAAACTCACCAGCTGTAGACTGACCGGCAGTAAGCAGCAGTAGGCAACTCACCGGCTGTAGACTGACCGGCAGTAAGCAGCAGTAAGCAACTCACCGGCTGTAAACTGACCGGCAGTAAGTAGCAGTAAGCAACTCACCGGCTGTAAACTGACCGGCAGTAAGTAGCAGTAAGCAACTCCCCAGCTGTAGACTGACCTGCAGTAAGCAGCAATAAGCAGCAGTAAGCAACTCACCAGCTGTAGACTGACCGGCAGTAAGCAGCAGTAAGCAACTCACCAGCTGTAGACTGACCGGCAGTAAGCACTAGTAAGCAACTCACCGGCTGTAAACTGACCGGCAGTAAGCAGCAGTAAGCAACTCACCAGCTGTAGACTGACCGGCAGTAAGCAGCAGTAGGCAACTCACCAGCTGTAGACTGACCGGCAGTAAGCAGCAGTAAGCAACCCACCGGCTGTAGACTGACCGGCAGTAAGCAGCAGTAGGCAACTCACCGGCTGTAGACTGACCCACAGTAAGCAGCAGTAAGCAACCCACTGGCTGTAGACTGACCGGCAGTAAGCAGCAGTAGGCAACTCACTGGCTGTAGACTGACCGGCAGTAAGCAGTAGTAAGCAACTCACCAGCTGTAGACTGACCGGCAGTAAGGAGCAGTAGGCAACTCACCGGCTGTAGACTGACCGGCAGTAAGCAGCAGTAGGCAACTCACCAGCTGTAGACTGACCGGCAGTAAGCAGCAGTAGGCAACTCACTGGCTGTAGACTGACCGGCAGTAAGCAGTAGTAAGCAACTCACCAGCTGTAGACTGACCGGCAGTAAGGAGCAGTAGGCAACTCACCAGCTGTAGACTGACCGGGAGTAAGCAGCAGTAGGCAACTCACCAGCTGTAGACTGACCGGCAGTAAGCAGCAGTAGGCAACCCACCGGCTGTAGACTGACCGGCAGTAAGCAGCAGTAGGCAACTCACCAGCTGTAGACTGACCGGCAGTAAGCAGCAGTAGGCAACTCACCAGCTGTAGACTGACCGGCAGTAAGCAGCAGTAGGCAACTCACCGGCTGTAGACTGACCGGCAGCAAGCAGCAGTACTCACCGGCTGTAGACGAGGAGATGCCGAACTTGAAACAGAAGCCACTCAATGTTTGATCACTGGGGTCTTGCACTGGACGTAGGTATTGCTGAAGTAGAAGGGAAGAAATTGTATTTCTATCATTGAAAACTCCATGGACAACAGACACTTCACAGCCAGAAAGTTTTACAACCAGTCAAATAATGCACTAAGAAACGCTTCTTCTATCAACAGGTTTGGTCATGTTGAAACAGACCAAACTAAACAAAGAAAGTGCAATAGGTCAATGTACTTTTCTCTCTGTAGTTTGGCATCTCTCTGATTTGCTTAAGGGTGATGAGGTAGGGCTACCACATTATTAGGTGGATTCAATTAATGCTGATTGTGTCTTCCAAAATATTTGTCAGCTTTCCTTGTTCAGTAGAGTCAGATGGAAGAACGTGTTGTTGGTCATCATGACGATGATGATGATGATGATGATGGTGATGGTGATGCTGATGCTGATGGTGACTTACCTGAGGTAGTAGAGTCAGATGGAAGAACGTGTTGTTGGTCATCATGACGATGATGATGATGATGATGATGATGATGATGGTGATGGTGACTTACCTGAGGTAGTAGAGTCAGATGGAAGAACGTGTTGTTGGTCATGATGATAATGGTGATGATGATGATGATGATGATGATGATGATGGTGATGGTGACTTACCTGAGGTAGTAGAGTCAGATGGAAGAACGTGTTGTTGGTCATGATGATAATGGTGATGATGATGATGATGATGATGATGATAATGGTGATGGTGACTTACCTGAGGTAGTAGAGTCAGATGGAAGAACGTATTGTTGGTCATGATGATAATGGTGATGATGATGATGATGATGATGATGATAATGGTGATGGTGACTTACCTGAGGTAGTAGAGTCAGATGGAAGAACGTGTTGTTGGTCATGATGATAATGGTGATGATGATGATGATGATGATGATGATAATGGTGATGGTGACTTACCTGAGGTAGTAGAGTCAGATGGAAGAACGTATTGTTGGTCATGATGATAATGGTGATGATGATGATGATGATGATGATGATAATGGTGATGGTGACTTACCTGAGGTAGTAGAGTCAGATGGAAGAACATGTTGTTGGTCATGATGATGTGATGATGATGACGATGATGATGATGGTGATGGTGACTTACCTGAGGTAGTAGAGTCAGATGGAAGAACGTGTTGTTGGTCATGATGAGGGCTACAGTCACCGTAGGGAAGCCCATGTAGGGGACGGACAGTTTCGGCCAACACACCACCTCCGTCCCGCCCCAGAAGAACGAAGACGGATACCAGTCTGGAACCTGAAACACAGGGAGTGTGAGTGAGTGAGTGAGTGAGTGGATTGTTGAGTGGTTGAATATATTGGGTGGGGTTGGGGTGGGTGGGGTGGGGTTGGGTGGGGGTCCAAGGCAGGCAACATGTGGGATGTTCCACTTGATCTTGTAGCTGTCATCTGTATATACCCAGACGCATGTGGTCTTAATGGGAGGACTGTAAATGGGAGGAATGTAAATACACAGTTATCTGGAATCTGAATACCATATTCGACGTAATAAACGCCAGAGTCACTCTCAAAATTTTTATCACTTGTATTGTGACGTCAAATGCATATGTGTGTGTGTGTGGCTGCTTGTACTAGTCTGGACTAATGCCAGTTTTATACTGCTAGCACACTGAGATACCATGCCCCAGTTTAACATGTATACCCCACTCAGACACAGTACACTGACTCTGAGGCGAACAGTCCTTGTTTTAGCCCCTTTATGCCAGGCAAGATAACAACAAGTACCATCTTTTGACTTCTTTTGGTAAGATGCGGCCAGGGAATCGAACCCCAGACCTTCCGCTCTCCAGGCAGACGCTTTGTCCACTACACCACGTCAGCGGTCAAAAAGTCCCAAAAGGAAACTATGATGAATACAATCATCCTAACCATCATATCCCTGACATGTCCTGACGCAAGGCTTAAAAAAACAACTTAAATGCTAAATTCCATATACCTGACATGAATGCCCTGCACCAGGACCTGTCCTCTCCCTACTTATATTCTGTCTGACCTGCACCAGGGCCTGTCCCTTCCCTACTTATATTGTGTCTGACCTGCACCAGGGCCTGTCCCTTCCCTACTTATATTGTGTCTGACCTGCACCAGGGCCTGTCCCTTCCCTACTTATATTGTGTCTGACCTGCACCAGGGCCTGTCCCTTCCCTACTTATATTGTGTCTGACCTGCACCAGGGCCTGTCCCTTCCCTACTTATATTGTGTCTGACCTGCACCAGGGCCTGTCCTCTCCCTACTTATATTGTGTCTGACCTGCACCAGGGCCTGTCCCTTCCCTACTTATATTGTGTCTGACCTGCACCAGGGCCTGTCCCTTCCCTACTTATATTGTGTCTGACCTGCACCAGGGCCTGTCCCTTCTCTACTTATATTGTGTCTGACCTGCACCAGGGCCTGTCCTCTCCCTACTTATATTGTGTCTGACCTGCACCAGGGCCTGTCCTCTCCCTACTTATATTGTGTCTGACCTGCACCAGGGCCTGTCCCTTCCCTACTTATATTGTGTCTGACCTGCACCAGGGCCTGTCCTCTCCCTACTTATATTGTGTCTGACCTGCACCAGGGCCTGTCCCTTCCCTACTTATATTGTGTCTGACCTGCCCCAGGACCTGTTCCTTCCCTACTTATATTGTGTCTGACCTGCACCAGGGCCTGTCCCTTCCCTTCTTATATTGTGTCTGACCTGCACCAGGGCCTGTCCCTTCCCTACTTATATTGTGTCTGACCTGCACCAGGGCCTGTCCCTTCCCTACTCATATTGTGTCTGACCTGCACCAGGGCCTGTCCTCTCCCTACTTATAGTGTGTCTGACCTGCACCAGGGCCTGTCCCTTCCCTACTTATATGGTGTCTGACCTGCACCAGGGCCTGTCCCTTCCCTACTTATATTGTGTCTGACCTGCACCAGGGCCTGTCCCTTCCCTACTTATATTGTGTCTGACCTGCACCACGGCCTGTCCCTTCCCTACTTATATTGTGTCTGACCTGCACCAGGGCCTGTCCCTTCCCTACTTATATTGTGTCTCACCTGCACCAGGGCCTGTCCCTTCCCTACTTATATTGTGTCTGACCTGCACCAGGGCCTGTCCCTTCCCTACTTATATTGTGTCTCACCTGCACCAGGGCCTGTCCCTTCCCTACTTATATTGTGTCTGACCTGCACCAGGGCCTGTCCCTTCCCTACATATATTGTGTCTCACCTGCACCAGGGCCTGTCCTTTCCCTACTTATATTGTGTCTGACCTGCACCAGGGCCTGTCCTCTCCCTACTTATATTGTGTCTGACCTGCACCAGGGCCTGTCCCTTCCCTACTTATATTGTGTCTGACCTGCCCCAGGGCCTGTCCCTTCCCTACTTATATTGTGTCTGACCTGCACCAGGGCCTGTCTCTTCCCTACTTATATTGTGTCTGACCTGCACCAGGGCCTGTCCTCTCCCTACTTATATTGTGTCTGACCTGCACCAGGGCCTGTCCCTTCCCTACTTATATTGTGTCTGACCTGCACCAGGGCCTGTCCCTTCCCTACTTATATTGTGTCTGACCTGCACCAGGGCCTGTCCTCTCCCTACTTATATTGTGTCTGACCTGCACCAGGGCCTGTCCCTTCCCTACTTATCTTGTGTCTGACCTGCACCAGGGCCTGTCCCTTCCCTACTTATATTGTGTCTGACCTGCACCAGGACCTGTCCCTTCCCTACTTATATTGTGTCTGACCTGCACCAGGGCCTGTCCCTTCCCTACTTATCTTGTGTCTGACCTGCACCAGGACCTGTCCCTTCCCTACTTATATTGTGTCTGACCTGCACCAGGGCCTGTCCCTTCCCTACTTATCTTGTGTCTGACCTGCACCAGGGCCTGTCCCTTCCCTACTTATAGTGTGTCTGACCTGCACCAGGGCCTGTCCCTTCCCTACTTATATTGTGTCTGACCTGCACCAGGGCCTGTCCCTTCCCTACTTATATTGTGTCTGACCTGCCCCAGGGCCTGTCCCTTCCCTACTTATATTGTGTCTGACCTGCACCAGGGCATGTCCCTTCCCTACTTATATTGTGTCTCACCTGCCCCAGGGCCTGTCCCTTCCCTACTTATATTGTGTCTGACCTGCACCATGGGCCTGTTCTCTCCCTACTTATATTGTGTCTGACCTGCACCAGGGCCTGTCCCTTCTCTACTTATATTGTGTCTGACCTGCACCAGGGCCTGTCCTCTCCCTACTTATATTGTGTCTGACCTGCACCAGGGCCTGTCCCTTCCCTACTTATATTGTGTCTGACCTGCACCAGGGCCTGTCCCTTCCCTACTTATATTGTGTCTGACCTGCACCAGGGCCTGTCCCTTCCCTACTTATATTGTGTCTGACCTGCCCCAGGGCCTGTCCCTTCCCTACTTATATTGTGTCTGACCTGCACCAGGGCCTGTCCCTTCCCTACTTATATTGTGTCTGACCTGCACCAGGGCCTGTCCCTTCCCTACTTATATTGTGTCTGACCTGCACCAGGGCCTGTCCTCTCCCTACTTATATTGTGTCTGACCTGCACCAGGGCCTGTCCCTTCCCTACTTATATTGTGTCTGACCTGCACCAGGGCCTGTCCCTTCCCTACTTATATTGTGTCTGACCTGCCCCAGGGCCTGTCCCTTCCCTACTTATATTGTGTCTGACCTGCACCAGGGCCTGTCCCTTCCCTACTTATATTGTGTCTGACCTGCACCATGGGCCTGTTCTCTCCCTACTTATATTGTGTCTGACCTGCACCAGGACCTGTCCCTTCCCTACTTATATTGTGTCTGACCTGAATGCCTTGTTACTTACATTGAGTTTGGCCTGGATGCTCTTCACTAGGGCCTGGAAGACTTTGTCAGGGAGACGGAGGTTTGTGGTTCCACTGTCCACAATGGTTTTGTCATAGTTGTACTGAAAATAGACACTCACACTGTAAAACATCATCTTCCTGAGGCCAGGGAGTTAACTGACTATAAAGTCCAGTTTCCACCCTGGCCAAACAAGGCTGGAATTATAGAGTTATATTGTGCCTGGACTAACGAGTCTATGTACAGTCCAATCAAAATCGTGTAATGAAATCTACAACTGTCATGCAGATTTCAGTTGATTGCAGGATTTGTGAAGCATATGTACCATCAACATCAACAGATATTTTTTCCAAATTCTTTCATGTTTCTAATCAAGATGCTCATGTGATTTGATGCTCTTCAGACCTGTCTTTTTACAATATAGATCTTGCTTATCAATCTGACCGTCTTGACTGGGTGCTGCCATTTCGTTTGAAGCAAATGCAAGTGATATGAGAGGTGGAATCTGATTGGTCAATAAGAGGGACACAGAGATAACTCGAAAAAGCCACCGGTGGCACTACGATCTTGACCAGAAATTTCAGCCAAGTTTGGCAAGGATTGAAACTGGACTACAGTCAGTCAGTTAATTCCCTTGCCTCAGGAAGATGGCAAAACATAACCTTTAAGGGCAAGTAGAGTAAAAAAAACCAATTGTGATTTTTTGGTGAATAATAATTTTCCTAGATACACTTAGTCAATTTCCAAGAGAGAAAAATTCATAATATTCGTAGAAAGTATTTAGATGTCCAAATGAAAGACAAACCTATTTGGGGGCATGGCCTAAGGCTAACGGTGCAGAGTTGACAACTGTTTTCATTGACTGTTACGTTTGCCACGTATATCTTTCTTGTGATTTTTAACTGTTATACACCTACTGTTTCTGCTATTTCAACTGCTAATCAAACAATATTTATTGCTTATCTCATTTCACTTCCAAAAAGGTAGTGGAAGCTTCCAGAACAGTGTTCCCGGAGAACAGAAATCAGATCACCCGAACACACCCCTGAGCTGCGTACAGTCTCCGGGAACATTCTTCAGCAAGTTTCCACTACCACTTCGGAAATGAGATGAGATAATCAAGAAGTATGAGTGAGTGAGTTAAGAATTAACGTCACATCAGCTATATTCCAGCCATATAGTGTATGAGTCAGGATAAGGTAAAATCTATTATTTCCAGCTTTACATTACGATGAAAACTACCGAGGATCTGAAAGTCCTGCAGTGCCGGTCAACTGACTTTGAGAACATGGTTAATGGTTTTGGTTGCCGAGCAACTGTCCTGAAATTATGTTTACCTCTTTACAATCCAGCTTTAGGCTTTGGTTGTTGACAAGGATATCGGTGATGACAACCTCGTAGTACCACTCCCGGTGTATGGGTGTGTAGAAGATGTTGCCATTATAGAGAGAGTCCGACATCCCACCCAACAACTGGAATAGATGCAACAGAATATGGATATCATTAGCAATACAAGAGAATTGACGACTGATTGAGTGAGTGAGTGAGTGAGTATGGTTTTACGCCGCTTTTAGCAATATTCCAGCAATATCACGGCGGGGGACACCAGAAATGGGCTTCACACATTGTACCCATGTCGGGAATGGAACCCGGGTCTTCTGCGTGATGAGCGAACGCTTTAACCACTAGGCTACCCGACGACTGATTGAACTATTGACACATCACAATTGTTGATAGCCTGATGGATAATATGATATGTGTTGTTGTTTGTTGTTTGTTGTTTGTTGTTGTCTGACGCTGTACTCAGTAATATTCCAGCTGTATGGCAGTGTCTGTAAAACTGAGTCCTCAACAGACAATCCAGTGATTGACATCATGAGCATCTATGAACCTCTATGGACCTCCATCACTTGTAAATACATACAACTGCTTGCAATTACTTGCTGATGAAGTAAGGCAGATAGATGGACAAGACTTACCATGGTGCCATCCATTGAGTTGGTGCTGAGGTTGAGTGAGATGGAGTTGGCAAGCGCCTTAGCTCCACACAGATAGATGGACAAGACTTACCATGGTGCCATCCATTGAGTTGGTGCTGAGGTTGAGTGAGATGGAGTTGGCAAGCGTCTTAGCTCCACACAGATAGATGGACAAGACTTACCATGGTGCCATCCATTGAGTTGGTGCTGAGGTTGAGTGTGATGGAGTTGGCAAGTGTCTTAGCTCCACACAGATAGATGAACAAGACTTACCATGGTGCCATCCATTGAGTTGGTGCTGAGATTGAGTGAGATGGAGTTGGCAAGCGCCTTAGCTCCACACAGATAGATGGACAAGACTTACCATGGTGCCATCCATTGAGTTGGTGCTGAGGTTGAGTGAGATGGAGTTGGCAAGCGCCTTAGCTCCACGTAGCTGTATGGACAAGACTTACCATGGTGCCATCCATTGAGTTGGTGCTGAGGTTGAGTGTGATGGAGTTGGCAAGCGCCTTAGCTCCACACAGATAGATGGACAAGACTTACCATGGTGCCATCCATTGAGTTGGTACTGAGGTTGAGTGAGATGGAGTTGGCAAGCGCCTTAGCTCCACACAGATAGATGGACAAGACTTACCATGGTGCCATCCATTGAGTTGGTGCTGAGGTTGAGTGTGATGGAGTTGGCAAGCGCCTTAGCTCCACGTAGCTGTATGGACAAGACTTACCATGGTGCCATCCATTGAGTTGGTGCTGAGGTTGAGTGTGATGGAGTTGGCAAGTGTCTTAGCTCCACACAGATAGATGAACAAGACTTACCATGGTGCCATCCATTGAGTTGGTGCGGAGGTTGAGTGTGATGGAGTTGGCAAGTGCCTTAGATCCACACAGATAGATGGACAAGACTTACCATGGTGCCATCCATTGAGTTGGTGCTGAGGTTGAGTGTGATGGAGTTGGCAAGCGCCTTAGCTCCACACAGATAGATGGACAAGACTTACCATGGTGCCATCCATTGAGTTGGTGCTGAGGTTGAGTGTGATGGAGTTGGCAAGTGCCTTAGCTCCACGTAGTTGTATGGACAAGACTTACCATGGTGCCATCCATTGAGTTGGTGCTGAGGTTGAGTGTGATGGAGTTGGCAAGCGCCTCAGCTCCACACAGATAGATGGACAAGACTTACCATGGTGCCATCCATTGAGTTGGTACTGAGGTTGAGTGAGATGGAGTTGGCAAGTGCCTCAGCTCCACACAGATAGATGGACAAGACTTACCATGGTGCCATCCATTGAATTGGTGCTGAGGTTGAGTGTGATGGAGTTGGCAAGCGCCTTAGCTCCACACAGATAGATGGACAAGACTTACCATGGTGCCATCCATTGAGTTGGTACTGAGGTTGAGTGAGATGGAGTTGGCAAGTGCCTTAGCTCCACACAGATAGATGGACAAGACTTACCATGGTGCCATCCATTGAGTTGGTACTGAGGTTGAGTGTGATGGAGTTGGCAAGCGCCTTAGCTCCACGTAGCTGTATGGACAAGACTTACCATGGTGCCATCCATTGAGTTGGTGCTGAGGTTGAGTGTGATGGAGTTGGCAAGCGCCTTAGCTCCACACAGATAGATGGACAAGACTTACCATGGTGCCATCCATTGAGTTGGTGCTGAGGTTGAGTGTGATGGAGTTGGCAAGTGCCTTAGCTCCACGTAGCTGTATGGACAAGACTTACCATGGTGCCATCCATTGAGTTGGTGCTGAGGTTGAGTGTGATGGAGTTGGCAAGCGCCTTAGCTCCACACAGATAGATGGACAAGACTTACCATGGTGCCATCCATTGAGTTGGTGCTGAGGTTGAGTGTGATGGAGTTGGCAAGCGCTTTAGCTCCACGTAGCTGTATGGACAAGACTTACCATGGTGCCATCCATTGAGTTGGTGCTGAGGTTGAGTGTGATGGAGTTGGCAAGTGCCTCAGCTCCACACAGATAGATGGACAAGACTTACCATGGTGCCATCCATTGAGTTGGTGCTGAGGTTGAGTGTGATGGAGTTGGCAAGCGCCTTAGCTCCACACAGATAGATGGACAAGACTTACCATGGTGCCATCCATTGAGTTGGTACTGAGGTTGAGTGAGATGGAGTTGGCAAGTGCCTTAGCTCCACACAGATAGATGGACAAGACTTACCATGGTGCCATCCATTGAGTTGGTGCTGAGGTTGAGTGTGATGGAGTTGGCAAGTGCCTTAGCTCCACGTAGCTGTATGGACAAGACTTACCATGGTGCCATCCATTGAGTTGGTGCTGAGGTTGAGTGTGATGGAGTTGGCAAGCGCCTTAGCTCCACACAGATAGATGGACAAGACTTACCATGGTGCCATCCATTGAGTTGGTACTGAGGTTGAGTGAGATGGAGTTGGCAAGTGCCTTAGCTCCACACAGATAGATGGACAAGACTTACCATGGTGCCATCCATTGAGTTGGTACTGAGGTTGAGTGTGATGGAGTTGGCAAGCGCCTTAGCTCCACGTAGCTGTATGGACAAGACTTACCATGGTGCCATCCATTGAGTTGGTGCTGAGGTTGAGTGTGATGGAGTTGGCAAGCGCCTTAGCTCCACACAGATAGATGGACAAGACTTACCATGGTGCCATCCATTGAGTTGGTGCTGAGGTTGAGTGAGATGGAGTTGGCAAGTGCCTCAGCTCCACACAGATAGATGGACAAGACTTACCATGGTGCCATCCATTGAGTTGGTGCTGAGGTTGAGTGAGATGGAGTTGGCAAGCGCCTTAGCTCCACGTAGCTGTATGGACAAGACTTACCATGGTGCCATCCATTGAGTTGGTGCTGAGGTTGAGTGTGATGGAGTTGGCAAGCGCCTTAGCTCCACACAGATAGATGGACAAGACTTACCATGGTGCCATCCATTGAGTTGGTACTGAGGTTGAGTGAGATGGAGTTGGCAAGTGCCTTAGCTCCACACAGATAGATGGACAAGACTTACCATGGTGCCATCCATTGAGTTGGTACTGAGGTTGAGTGTGATGGAGTTGGCAAGCGCCTTAGCTCCACACAGATAGATGGACAAGACTTACCATGGTGCCTTCCATTGAGTTGGTGCTGAGGTTGAGTGTGATGGAGTTGGCAAGTGCCTTAGCTCCACGTAGCTGTATGGACAAGACTTACCATGGTGCCATCCATTGAGTTGGTGCTGAGGTTGAGTGTGATGGAGTTGGCAAGCGCCTTAGCTCCACACAGATAGATGGACAAGACTTACCATGGTGCCATCCATTGAGTTGGTGCTGAGGTTGAGTGTGATGGAGTTGGCAAGTGCCTTAGCTCCACACAGATAGATGGACAAGACTTACCATGGTGCCATCCATTGAGTTGGTGCTGAGGTTGAGTGTGATGGAGTTGGCAAGTGTCTTAGCTCCACACAGATAGATGGACAAGACTTACCATGGTGCCATCCATTGAGTTGGTGCTGAGGTTGAGTGTGATGGAGTTGGCAAGTGCCTTAGCTCCACACAGATAGATGGACAAGACTTACCATGGTGCCATCCATTGAGTTGGTGCTGAGGTTGAGTGAGATGGAGTTGGCAAGCGCCTTAGCTCCACACAGATAGATGGACAAGACTTACCATGGTGCCATCCATTGAGTTGGTGCTGAGGTTGAGTGTGATGGAGTTGGCAAGTGCCTTAGCTCCACACAGATAGATGGACAAGACTTACCATGGTGCCATCCATTGAGTTGGTGCTGAGGTTGAGTGAGATGGAGTTGGCAAGCGCCTTAGCTCCACACAGGTAGATGGACAAGACTTACCATGGTGCCATCCATTGAGTTGGTGCTGAGGTTGAGTGTGATGGAGTTGGCAAGTGCCTTAGCTCCACACAGATAGATGGACAAGACTTACCATGGTGCCATCCATTGAGTTGGTGCTGAGGTTGAGTGAGATGGAGTTGGCAAGCGCCTTAGCTCCACACAGATAGATGGACAAGACTTACCATGGTGCCATCCATTGAGTTGGTGCTGAGGTTGAGTGAGATGGAGTTGGCAAGCGCCTTAGCTCCACACAGATAGATGGACAAGACTTACCATGGTGCCATCCATTGAGTTGGTGCTGAGGTTGAGTGAGATGGAGTTGGCAAGTGCCTTAGCTCCACACAGATAGATGGACAAGACTTACCATGGTGCCATCCATTGAGTTGGTGCTGAGGTTGAGTGAGATGGAGTTGGCAAGTGCCTCAGCTCCACACAGATAGATGGACAAGACTTACCATGGTGCCATCCATTGAGTTGGTACTGAGGTTGAGTGAGATGGAGTTGGCAAGCGCCTTAGCTCCACACAGATAGATGGACAAGACTTACCATGGTGCCATCCATTGAGTTGGTGCTGAGGTTGAGTGTGATGGAGTTGGCAAGCGCCTTAGCCCGACACAGATAGATGGACAAGACTTACCATGGTGCCATCCATTGAGTTGGTGCTTAGGTTGAGTGAGATGGAGTTGGCAAGCACCTTAGCTCCACGTAGCTGTATGGACAAGACTTACCATGGTGCCATCCATTGAGTTGGTGCTGAGGTTGAGTGAGATGGAGTTGGCAAGCGCCTTAGCTCCACAAAGCTGGATGGACAAGACTTACCATGGTGCCATCCATTGAGTTGGTGCTGAGGTTGAGTGAGATGGAGTTGGCAAGCGCCTTAGCTCCACACAGATAGATGGACAAGACTTACCATGGTGCCATCCATTGAGTTGGTGCTGAGGTTGAGTGAGATGGAGTTGGCAAGCGCCTTAGCTCCACAAAGCTGGATGGACAAGACTTACCATGGTGCCATCCATTGAGTTGGTGCGGAGGTTGAGTGAGATGGAGTTGGCAAGTGCCTTAGCTCCACACAGATAGATGGACAAGACTTACCATGGTGCCATCCATTGAGTTGGTGCTGAGGTTGAGTAAGATGGAGTTGGCAAGCGCCTTAGCTCCACAAAGCTGGATGGACAAGACTTACCATGGTGCCATCCATTGAGTTGGTGCTGAGGTTGAGTGAGATGGAGTTGGCAAGTGCCTTAGCTCCACACAGATAGATGGACAAGACTTACCATGGTGCCATCCATTGAGTTGGTGCTGAGGTTGAGTGAGATGGAGTTGGCAAGTGCCTTAGCTCCACACAGATAGATGGACAAGACTTACCATGGTGCCATCCATTGAGTTGGTGCTGAGGTTGAGTGAGATGGAGTTGGCAAGCGCCTTAGCTCCACAAAGCTGGATGGACAAGACTTACCATGGTGCCATCCATTGAGTTGGTGCTGAGGTTGAGTGAGATGGAGTTGGCAAGCGCCTTAGCTCCACAAAGCTGGATGGACAAGACTTACCATGGTGCCATCCATTGAGTTGGTGCTGAGGTTGAGTGAGATGGAGTTGGCAAGCGCCTTAGCTCCACAAAGCTGGATGGACAAGACTTACCATGGTGCCATCCATTGAGTTGGTACTGAGGTTGAGTGAGATGGAGTTGGCAAGCGCCTTAGCTCCACAAAGCTGGATGGACAAGACTTACCATGGTGCCATCCATTGAGTTGGTGCTGAGGTTGAGTGAGATGGAGTTGGCAAGCGCCTTAGCTCCACACAGATAGATGGACAAGACTTACCATGGTGCCATCCATTGAGTTGGTGCTGAGGTTGAGTGAGATGGAGTTGGCAAGCGCCTTAGCTCCACACAGATAGATGGACAAGACTTACCATGGTGCCATCCATTGAGTTGGTGCTGAGGTTGAGTGAGATGGAGTTGGCAAGCGCCTTAGCTCCACAAAGCTGGATGGACAAGACTTACCATGGTGCCATCCATTGAGTTGGTGCTGAGGTTGAGTGAGATGGAGTTGGCAAGCGCCTTAGCTCCACAAAGCTGGATGGACAAGACTTACCATGGTGCCATCCATTGAGTTGGTGCTGAGGTTGAGTGAGATGGAGTTGGCAAGCGCCTTAGCTCCACACAGATAGATGGACAAGACTTACCATGGTGCCATCCATTGAGTTGGTGCTGAGGTTGAGTGAGATGGAGTTGGCAAGCGCCTTAGCTCCACACAGATAGATGGACAAGACTTACCATGGTGCCATCCATTGAGTTGGTGCTGAGGTTGAGTGAGATGGAGTTGGCAAGCGCCTTAGCTCCACACAGATAGATGGACAAGACTTACCATGGTGCCATCCATTGAGTTGGTGCTGAGGTTGAGTGAGATGGAGTTGGCAAGCGCCTTAGCTCCACACAGATAGATGGACAAGACTTACCATGGTGCCATCCATTGAGTTGGTGCTGAGGTTGAGTGAGATGGAGTTGGCAAGCGCCTTAGCTCCACACAGATAGATGGACAAGACTTACCATGGTGCCATCCATTGAGTTGGTGCTGAGGTTGAGTGAGATGGAGTTGGCAAGCGCCTTAGCTCCACACAGATAGATGGACAAGACTTACCATGGTGCCATCCATTGAGTTGGTGCTGAGGTTGAGTGAGATGGAGTTGGCAAGCGCCTTAGCTCCACAAAGCTGGATGGAGAAGAGGTTTCGGACATGGCCCTCCTTCACCAGACTGTCGAGGAACGGCTCCACATCCCCGTCAGGCTGCAACAGTTCAGTAACCATGGTAACAAATCAGTTAGAGAATAATCTGTGAGCTAAGAGGACTTACTAACAAAATGCCCAGTGATTTTTTAACTTTATTCAACATTATTCTACAAGGGACAGAAGATTTTCAATTCCAAGTAGTTTGTTCACATTACCATCCGTGTATCGCTGTGCATAACATGACATCACTTATACCAATACATACACCACATTGTCAAGAGCCTTCTAAACAAATGTTCATCATAACCTTTGTCTATATTGTGATCGAGATTCAAGCACATGAGTGACTCAGTGAGTATGGTTTTATGCTGCTTTTAGCAATATTCCAGCAACATCACGGCGGGGGACTCCAGAAATGGGCTTCACATATTGTACCCATGTCGGGAATCAAACCCGGGTCTTCAGCGTGACAAACAAACGCTTTAACCACTAGGCTACTTGACCACCAACATGAGCAAAGAATACATACTCCTTACAATATGAATTGTTTTAAGAGCTTGAGAAATGTTTCATTGTAATTCAAGGCTTCATGCTTTAAGCCTGAGATTTGCACACATTATACCCATGTCGGGAATCGAACCCGGGTCTTCGGCTTAATAACCACTAGGCTACCCGAAGAGGCGACTAAATGGATCGGGTGGTCAGGCTCGCTGACTTTGTAGATGCATGTTATCGTATCCTGAAATTTGCATATGTTGCCTGTTCTTCATTATTTTCGTTTTTGCTTGTTCTTTAACCCCACTCAGCAGTATTCCAGCTATATTACGGTGGTCTGTGAATAATCGAGTTAATCCAGTGATTGATATTATGAGTTTGTGTTTGTTGTTTAACGCCGCACTCAGCAATATTCCAGCTATATGACGTGCACAATCCACAAGGAAAGAGAAGATACCACTGAACTCATAGTTTGTTTGTTTGATTGACATCATGAGCATCGATCCACGCAATTGGGATACGATGACATGCATTAACCAAGTCAGCATGCCTGACAACCTGATCCCGTTAGTCGCCTCTTACGACAAGCATAGTCGCCTTTTACAGCAAGCATGGGTTGCTGAAGACCTATTTTACCCCGGATCTTCACGGGTCTGAGGAATGATCTTAACCTTCTGGGTACAATGACATGCCATCAACCAAGTCACCAAGCCTGACCACCATAATCCATTCAGTCGCCTCTTACTCCAAGCGTAAGTTGATGAGGACCTATATTCTTACCCGAAATCCACATGAAGGGGTTTTTCAAGGATAACAGACAATAAACACAAAAATACTCAGACAACGTTTGTGTCCACCGGCACCTAACTGAAAATCCTAGAAAAACACCTGCTTCACAAAGTCCTACCCTTGCTATTTCCTGATATGCAAAACCGATGATGCCCTGCCAGTCTGAAGTGTTGATGAAGAAGTTGGAAGACCTGGTGATGAAGGCAATGTTGGACCTGACGGTGATGTTGGGCAGCGAGGGGAGGTTGACCAGGTCGGTGGCCAGCTCCCCTGTCCAGTCCCCCTGGGTGTAGGGCACATACACAGACGTCCCGCTGTCCTCGTACGTGGACGACCTGACAACAAAATGTCCATTGGTCAGACACCTTCACACTGTCCTTATCTCATTCAATGAAATTAAAGACTGTTTTGTTCAGTTTACAAAAGCTTAATCCAAACAGAGCTCCAGATAAGCTGCGTATCTGCGTAAAATACTCATCAGAAATGCAGAAATATGCAGTAATGTAAAATCCAAGCGTATCAAATACGCAAACGAACATTACAGATACACTACAAAAATAAAACTTGTGTGTATCATCAAAATATTGTGAAGTAACCCTTATTAGCAAATCAGCAAATTATTTTGAAATTATAAACGGGCATTCCCTCCACCTTGCAAAACTCCAGGATGACATTTACATCATGATCATTTGCCATCACACTTTCTTGTGGAAGTATCGTGGTATTTTTAAGTGTTTTTAAATATTTAACTTAAATACCCACATGTGTAAAAACTAGTGGGAAACAGAAATTTGAATACCCAGATAGAATTACTGATACCCAATGACTTTAAAATGCATGCGTAAAATACCCACAACACCAAAAGCTTATCTGGAGATCTGATCCAAAAGAGTGAGTGAGTGAGTTGGGTTTAACGCCGCTTTTAACAGTATTCCAGTTATATCACGGCGTGTCAGCTTAATGTGGGAGGAAAGCCCGAAGTGATGCAGGCCTCAGACGTTAACCACTTCGGTGAAACCCACGAGCACGGTATGGTGCTGACAAACCTAGAAACATAATCGGGGCGAACCGGGATTCGAACCCACAATCATAGGTTTCTGGCGTGCCAAGGGACGCAACTCTGCACAGCGAATCGCGGCGCCTTAGACGACTGGGCCACCCGTGGCCCCCCTGATCCAAAAGAAACAGAGAATATACGACTGTTTCTGCTGGCTTTGGAAACTGCCAGTCCGGGGTCCAGACATCCCTCTATCAGTGTATTTTACTGTATTAATTAAAACATATTACCATATTTACCATAATAAGTGTCCAGAGAGCACAGAAAACTTCCAAAGGGGGCGCTTATTAAATCCATACACAACAAGTCCAATTTATTTTTCAGAGATCAGTTGCTAGAGGACAAACTTACTACTGTGTACAAACTTTGATGAACGTAAAACAAAATGATTATGGTTGCTATTTTATGTAAAAGTATCATTAATATGTTCACCAGACAATAACGACTGTCATGTAACTTTTCAGTTTTAGCAGGAGGCTTACTTAGTAACATCAGTTACAGACTGGGCTACAAGTTGGTGAGTGTGCATTATTGGTGCATGGTGCTTAATATGGTAAATACGGTAGATGTTATTCCACATTGGTTTGTTTGTTTGTTGTTTAACGCTGCACTCAGTAACATTCCAGCTGTATGATGGCAGTCTGTAAATAATCGGATCTGGACCAGACAATCCAGTGATTGATATCATGAGCATCGATCAAAGCAATTGGGATCGATGACATGCATCAACCAAGTCAGCTAGCCTGACTACCTGATCCCGTTAGTTGCCTCTTACGACAAGCATAGTCGCCTTTTCCGGCAAGCATGGGTTGCTGAAGACCTATTCTACCCTGGATCTTCACAGGTCTTATTCCACACTGCCTGCACATACACACTTAACATCACATTTCATAACAGGATACACACACAAATGGCTGAGAAATTGGCAAAATGGACATTTTTTTCAAAATGGCTGCCATGGCAGACATCTAAAATGAGACAGGAAACAAGGCATAATTTCAGAGCTCCAGATAAGCTTTTGGTCTTATGGGTATTTTACCCATGCATTTTAAAATCATTGGGTATCAGTAATTCTATCTGGGTATTCAAATTTCTGTTACCCACTAGTTTTTACGCATGTGGGTATTTAAGTTAAATATTTAAAAACACTTAGTCTCGTCCCTGCAAACTGGTGTCGTGTGGGTTCGAGAGCTTTATAGGACTCAAAAATACTGCAATACTTCCACAAGAAAGGAAGGCAAATGATCATGATGTAACTGTCATCGTGGAGTTTGGCAAGAATGTCCGTATATAATTTCAAAATAAGTTTCATTTGCTAATCGAATACGCTGGGTTACTTCACAATATTTTGGTGATACGCACTAGTTTTATTTTTGTAGCGTATTGTAATGTTCGTTGCGTATTTGATACACTTGAATTTTATTTCACTGCGTATTTCTGCATTTCTGATGCGTATGTTACGCAGATACGCAGCTTATCTGGAGCTCTGAATTTACAGAGTACTCACTCATTGATGTAAAAATACTTGTTGATCTGATCGTCCTGTGATGCTGCGATGGCAAAGTTGCTACTTCCGGTGTCAACAAGGACGTTAAGCTGCAAGGATGAAAGTAACTATGGTAACATGGTAACTATGGTAACAGAGTCTCAATGTTTATTGAGGGAACACATGATCATCAGATATATGCACATGTCATTTTCTAAAAACTTTACAGGCCTAAAAGTTTCAACTAGTTTGGTTGCCATGGCGTTGAAAAGTTCCACTTTGTTACTTGGAAAAATCATGCTGTTAAACATATTACTAACTGCATAATATCAAACTGAAATACTATGAGGGTAATGCTTAGAGTTCCCGCTCGCTTTTGAAACTACCAGTCGTCCCCCCGAATTAATGTCAGTCCCAACTTTCAACAAATAAAAAACGTGTGAAATTTACCTGATTTTAATTCTGTCAACATCATGTTCAGTGCAATGATGTCATCTCTGAAGTAACTACGTTAGATTTACACATCATTCAGACATTCACACAAAGCACAGTTACAACTGTCTCCTTTTTTTTATATTTCAAGACTAAGTTTCTACAAATATATACTCATCCTTGAAGCAAAGCGAAATGGTGTATCCTTGAACTAAAATTAGACAAGGGGAAACCCTGATGTTAACAGACAAGCTAACTTTCGAAAAATGTATGAATATCGCCAATGTTTTTGTTCAACAACAAAGATTTATAAGGTACTTTATTTGCCAGTCCAAGCCTATTTTACCGGTAAAAAACTGGTAATTACTGGTAAACGGGAACACTGAACGCTATTTTTCAGGGCATTATCATTTGCAGAAGCCCGAGGTCTTCCATTAACTGCCACAATGAGCAATATGACATCATCATAGTGACATGCAGTGTCGAATGAGTGAGTGAGTTAGGTTTAACACCGCCTTTAACAGTATTCCAGTTATATCACGGCGTGTCAGCTTAATGTGGGAGGAAAGGTCGAAGTGATGCAGGTCTCAGACGTTTACCACTTCGGTGAAACCCACGAGCACGGATATGGTGCTGACAAACCTAGAAACATAATCGGGGCGAACCGGGATTCGAACCCACAATCATAGGTTTCTGGTGTGCCTAAGGGACGCAACTCTGCACAGCGAATCGCGGCGCCTTAGACGACTGGGCCACCTGTGCCCCCTGGTGTGGAAGGAAACCTTTGCAAGGCTTGCTTAGTTTTCTTTAGGGTGCCCATCCCATGGTAGCTTACAAAATTGCCGTGCTACATGCTTTGAGTGCCTGTCCTAAGTTTGGTTGCTGTTCGGTTCCAAATTCAAATGTAGCAAGGTTAACCTAGCTCTACACTGGAAACACACAATGTTTATCTCAAAATTCAAAGACATGTTACTTTTTACTCAGTAGCCAATGGTTCCTCACAATTTCTAGATGGAAGAATTTTGTTTCAAAGAAAACATGCAAGCTTTTGAGGCCTGAAAGAACCTTGCTTCAAATGGACGCTGTTCTCTCTGATCTGGTCACTGGAACCCATTAATTGGTACAGGCCTGGGTGGCGACATGACGAGTGTCAGACTGAGAGGTGAGGTGAGGTGAGGTGAGGCGAGGTGAGGTGAGGTGAGGTGAGGCGAGGCGAGGCGAGGCGTGGCGAAATGGTGAGGTGAGGTGAGGCGAGGCGAAATGGTGAGGTTTAACGTAAGATTATTGCACTAATAAAGCTACTTGCAAGCATGCACGTGTGTGTGTGTGTGTCTGCTTGTACTAGTCCAGACTGATGCCGATTTTATAGTGCTAGCCACTGAGATACCATGTCTCAGTTTAACATCATTACCCCACTCAGACACAGTATACGGACTCCGAGCCGACCAGCCCTTGTTTTAGTCCCTTAATGAAACAAGAGCCAGACAGGGTTACCAGTAAGACCAGGGAACAGTTGAACCACTAGGCTACACTACACAAAAAAAAAAAAATTAGAGACTGATCCAGCGCTGCTCAAAGGCTGATTTTCTGCAGCAAAAATGCATCTTGTGTTAACTGACTATAAAGTTTCCACCCTTGCCGAACTTGGCTGGTATTATGGAGTTATATTTTGGCTGGACTAACGAGTCTATGCATAGTCCAATCAAAATCACGCACCAAATCGTAATCCGGTTCATAAACTGTCGTGCAGATGTTGGTCAATTGCAGGATTTGCAAAGCATGTGCACCGCCAAGTCGTCAGAAGATATTTTCCATTTCTTTTCATGTTTTTAATCAAGGTGCTCACGTGATTTGGTGCATTTCGCGATGTAAGACCCGTTTTATCACAATATAGATCTTGATTATCGATCAGATCGTCCTGATTTGGCACAACCATTTTGTGTGAAGCAAACACAAGTGATACAAGAGGTGGAATCTGATTGGTCCATAGAAGAGGCTTAGAAGGGACATAACTGGTAATAGTCAGTCTAGTCTAGTTCGGTAAGGGTGGAAACTGGACTTTTAAAGTCAGTTAACTCCCTTGCATCGGGAAGATGTGTTAATGTAGCTATAGCCAATGGCATGGCCATGGAGAGATGACTTGTAGTTCACAGATACCAGGACCAAAATAAAGCAAGAGGCATTAGTGTATCAAACATGTTTAATGCTGTGTTAACATACCTGAAAACTGAAGAAATGTTTGTTTTTTAAATCCCAATTTTGTACAAAACGACTTTTCCCAATGTGCCCATCAGGAGCACCGAGTTTTGAATCCTAGATTCAGATATGTCCCTGTAGGCATTACCAAACTCTTACCTTCTGAGGAGGCGTGCCGATGTTCATCTCAATATAGTACCCCTCGCCTGACTGACCATGAAGGTTCTGAGACAAACTGGCCGCACGTCTATTGCGCTGACCGGCAGCAAACTCCATATCTTTGTGACCATGATGCAGCTTGAGTTGGATGACCTTCCCTTGACATGGGGTCAAGGTCATACTCATCAGTACATTGATGATAATGGCAAGTGACAACACCTTCCTCCAGAGATGTAAAGGCCTCATAGTGTGCTTCATGTCAGGGAAGGAACTACACACCACTGCCAAGCATGTGTGTCTATATCATTTTACGACTTCAAAAATCCTGCGAAAGAAAATGAAATTAAACTATGTGAATGTTGTATACTAGGGATGGAGCAATTGATCAGATTATCAACTACTGTATTCTACGCAATAAGCGCTCAGGGCGCTCTCAAAATTAGAATTAGGGGGCTCTTGTTAGAATATTATTTTGGTGAATTATCTGACAAAACAGATTCCATTGGGGGTAAAAAAACTATCAATGTTCAGCTATCATGCTATGTTAGTTAGAATATGACCTGTTAAACATATCTGTCACCACTCCCCAAAACTGAATTGTTCTATGGGCCTGAGGCCTTTCAGCGTGGAATAAAACTTATCCTTATCTTTATCCATTGGGGGTAAAAGACCAAAAAGAAGCAAAAATTATACACCGTATTCGACATAATAAGCGACCAGGGCGCTCTCAAACTTAGAAATAGGGGGCTCTTATTAACAGAGTTGAAAGATCATAAATTTTGTGGTTTATGCTGACAGCCTGAAATAATACAAAAGAAAAGTTGTATTATACACGACAGATATATTTTTGCAGAATTTAATTGCCCGTAATTAAGGGTGCATATAACACACGAGTGCGTATTATACACGAATAAATAAATCTTGTGTACATTGATCAATCCGAAGTGTGCTAAATGGGATTGTTCACTAGCCAATATATTAGCAAATATCGCCGTGGACGCTTATCACGTCAAATAGGGGAATTGTCAATCTGAATATCGAAAATGATTTTTGAATGCTGACATACCTAATCAGTCAGATAATTCCAATAATAATGTATGCTGTCTCGCAGCTTAAACTTCTTACATGTCTGAAATCCGACCTACAAATTTTAAAAACAAAAACAGCAACTGCTGGCTTATTAAGCAGTGTACGTGTTTTCATCAATAATATGTCAACTAGCCTCTAAATATTTTATTGTTTTTCACATTATGCTACTGGCTGTTACCATATATGATTACATGACTATAAATCAAATTGAGAGCTCCAGTGACTGATATTATTCATGGCAGCACACAAACCTATGTAGAACAATATCAGTCTGGTGAGCAATACTGCAGCTTTAATGGAGTGCAGTAAAAGGCGACTTTACTCGTCGTAAATGCGACTAATGGGATCAGGTGGTCAGGCTCGCTGACTTAGTTGAAGCATGTCATCGATCACAATTGCGTGGATCGAAGCTCATAATATCAATCACTGGATTGTCTGGTCTGTACTGGATTATTTAAAGACCGCCATCATATAGCTGGAATATTGCTGAGTGCGGCGTAAAACAACAACCAACTGTAACTACTTGAGCTGGACAAACTAGAGGCTGAAATCATGAGCACCAGTCTGGTAAGACAAATCAGCCAATGACAGAGCCTGACCATCTACCGTATTTTGCTGTGTATAAGGCGAGTTTTCCGTACCTACAATTAGGGGCCTTTCAAGGGGGGTCGTCTTATACACAGGGTTGAAGAGTTTTGATGTTTTTCACCCAACACAAAGACATTACTGTGAGCATGTAACACCGGAAATACCATGTCAAGAAATCTGTACTGAAGCACGCAATATAATAATGTAATTACACTGTCTGGTTATAAAAAGATGCACAATATATATGGACTGATGTTTGTAATCTATTTTATTAATTTTATTCAAAACTTCATTCAATATTGAAGAAAGACAAGTTCTATAGATAATCAACTTCTTTATAACAATTAGTGCGACGTTTCGGTGTAGATCCTAACACCTTTATCAAGCAAGTGATTTCTTCATCACACCAACTTCTAAATGCCACTGAAAGAAGTTCATTCAATATTGTTTCAATTCATTTCGGCGAAATCAAATGTGAAGTGATCGGAAGATTGCACAACTCACCGTTATTTACAGCAATCACGGTCATATTACCGCTATTGACGCCTTGAAACAAACTTTAGTGGATAGAGAATGGATATTTATATCTTAAATGCCATACACTGACACAAGTCATATTTATTGTAGTTTGACTACTACATTTCAACATAAAGTTTTCGTTAATCCCAATGTTACATGTCTCATACTCCGAGCATGAACATCAGTCTGCAACTCCATCCACTAGTTCCTGAATCTTGACTCTAGATTTATTAACTTCCTCAATACTCATGTGTTAGTACTGATGTATTTCATTACAACGTATAATTTCTTGGAAGGCGACCGCACAATTCTAATCGTCTCCAGACTGACTACTTTGGTGTTTGGAAGAGACTGTTACTGTCAATCCAAACATTCAATTGTTTCATGTAGATATGATTACAAGGAGTTATGAAGGATTCTAAACAAAGTGCCCTTGGCAGGCAAATTTGGAAAATTTTAAACACAGCTAGAACACAATATTCAGTGTATACACAATGACAACAAATCTATTGCATTTCAGTTGGCAAAATATTTTTAGCAATAAGTGTAGTTCTTTTATCTTTATACAATGTCATCCATGGATCAAATATTTACATTGAAACAACACCTCTTTCGAGAAAACCTTTATCTCAAATTCTCAATTGTATCAGTGTTTAACTTCAGGCCTACAGAGACAATTTAATTATCGTAGCATGTCAAAAAGTGACACTGAACACACACTTTTCAGTATATAAAACGGTGATCTGTGGGCACTAAATAAGTCGATTGGAGTATATTATGCTTCGATCGATGTATTTTATGGCGATCTCACACACACCACAACGTGGTCATGTTGTGTACGCGAAAAGTGAGGGTCTAAAACGAATAAACGATCATCTTATACGTTTACTATGATGACAAACTGGAGATAAACATCAGGACACTATCATAATTTCGCATTATAACTGATACTTACACTCGTATCCTTTCAAATTATGACAGATTCCAGAAAAATGTAAAATAAATCCACACTTCCTTGTTTCCCTTCACACGTAGTCAACCGTTTGAGAGTTGCTTCCCTTTGGCGAAGCCTTCTGATTTCCTCGACATTTTCCGGAAATGCCAATGTGGCTGATTGACCAGGCTATTTATAACTTTATAGGTGAAGTGGGTTGTAAGTGGTAGTTTCCTCGCGGAAAAAGATTCAACGACTGAGTTAATGAGTGAGTGAGTTCAAATTGATTGCACAATTTCTCCAACTTTACTATACAATGAAAACCAAGTAACAATTAACGTAAATTAATCACGATGAAATGTATGTTTTTTGAAGCGGCGTATAATCACATAGTCGACAGGATGGCAGGCCCTTGCGCTGTGTCAATACCAGTTCGTATGGTGATTAAATTGTATTTACGTGCAGTCTATGGACTATAATAAGCGTAATTTATTTATCGAAGTTTTAAACTGAATACAACAGATTCTAAAAACACTCCGACTGCCAACATAGCGATGGCGTGTAAACATCTTCCCGAGGCACGGGCGTTACCTGACTACAAAAGCGGAAGTTGGACTTTTACGGTCAGTTAACTCCCTTGTCTCGGGGAAATGCTTGTAAATAATTAAATCGGGTAACGATGACGCGCCGAGCCAGTTGTTATCTGCGTGGGGACCAGTTCTAACTCCAAATCCCCACAGATTTTATGAATATGAGACAGGCATTTATGAAACCCACGAGCACGGGTATGGTGCTGACAAACCTAGAAACATAATCGCAGCGAACCGGGATTCGTTTCTGGCGTGGCTAAGGGACGCAACTCTGCACAGCGAATCGCGGCATCTTAGACGCCTGGGCCACGAGGAGACATGTTTTACGGATATAGCCACCCCGTACACGGATCACATCCGCAAGAAGTTTTGCTCATGCTCAAAATCAGACGCCTGATCCTAAACTGAGGGAATCGTTGCAATGCCTTGGTCTACTTTTGGAGATTCTTTACTGGAGGGTCTCTGGCTCTAACCATACGTCCTAACTGATCCCAAAGATGCTCGGTTGGATTCAGATGTGGGCTTTGAGATGGTAGAGCACGGTTATCAAAATAAGACACAACAAAACCGTCCAATATGGTATGTCGGTACCTTTGTCCATTTAATGTACACTGAACTGTGACCAAATCAAGTTTACAAAGGTGCAACATCCCCATGTCATCAGTGAGCCGATACCAGATGCCCCTGATGAAAGATGTTTCCCTTGGCTTCCAGAAACGACGCCGGCCATCAGTGTGGTGCATTAGAGACCGACTCTCGGCAGACCAATGGTTGGTTGGTTTGTTGTTTAACGCCGCACTCAACAATATTCCAGCTGTATGACGGCGGTCTGTACATAATCGAGTCTGGATCAGACAATCCAGGAATTAATATCATGAGCATCGATCCACGCAATTGGGATCGATGACATGCATCAACCAGGTCAGCGAGCCTGACCGCCCGATCCCGTTAGTCGCCTTTTAGGACAAGCATAGTCGCCTTTTACGGCATCGCAATGCTTGTGGTTTTGACACATAGGTGCTTCCATAGTAAGACTCAAATATGCAGAGGGTGTCATGGAAAATGATAAATATAAAATTCTTTGGAATAGGCCCATATACAGCCTCAGACTCGATTTTGTCCTTTTTAAAAAATCCAATGAAATCATTTATAACATTGAATTTACTGTCCCTTTTGACACGAATGTGATTGACAAGATTCAGGAAAAATATGGCAAATATGCGCACCTCGCTTTCGAAATGTCACGCTTGCATCACAAGTACCAAGTTGTCCCTTGTTCTCGGTGCCCTAGGTTTGGTACCTCCCAATCTGTTGACTAACATTGAGAGAGTACCCGGGTATGCTACCAGGAATACAGCCCTTCTGACAATCTGGGTAATGCAGAAGGCTGCAGTGTTGGAAAATCTTCACATTCTCCGAAAAGTTCTTGGCGGGTTTGACCTGGCAGCGCTTCCTGGGAGAAGTCCCATTCGCTGTTTGGGCTGCGTGTAGAGGGGCAAGGGCCCGGAACTGATGATGAGCCTTACCATCCTGACTGTGCCAGTACCACCCAAACCCCCTTTGCTGCATTTATCAATTTTAATCTGTAAATAATAATAGCAATAATCATAATAACTATCCGCTTGTAAATCGCATAATTCCAGACGCAATATTATTACTAGGATCAACGGTAACATAGCAAGTCTACAACACAAGCTGCCTGCGAGGTGAACAATCATATTCTCTGACAATGTCATGATGAAACGAAATAATTTCAGAACTCATTCAGTCATAATAAATGATTTATCAAATATAGGCTTGAAAGGAGACATATTGAGATGGCATGAGTTTGTAAAATGAGATTATATCATATGAACTGCTGGTAGTATATAATATACTTATGTCAGTCGTAATCGGAGACTTTTATGAAATAATTAGTTCATAATAAGAGAATTTGAAGAGGTGAAATAGGGCTTAATGTCGCATTCCAGATTGATCAACTTATAAAACGTCCTGCTTCCATATATCTGTGTATGTGGCTGCTCAACAGTCATGTTTTGCATGGAGCATCTGAAAGAAGCCCCGATCCTCTTCCTTCTCCATCTGATGTTTCTCAGCAGGGTGGAGATGAAATTCAATTTCCTGAACATATTTGATGACATCGGTGTCAAAATGTGCGGTATGAAGTGCCTGAACACTGGATCATGCCAGGGCTGTGCCTACAACAATGTGGCATTAACATGTCTTTTACTGCGCTCTGTTCTGAGAGGGACGGTGAGAGGGATGACAACTGTACAAAGAACACAGATACATGTAAGTATTTCTTATTTGTGAGCAACAGTGTCATCTGCAATTAATGAGCTTTATAACCGAGTTCAGGTTCTTGTTCCCTAAGATTCATGTAAGTATATCACATTTGTTATCAACAGTGTCATCTTCAATTAATGAGCTTTATCACTGAGTTCATGTTCTCGTTCCCTAAGATTCATGTAAGTATATCTTATTTGTGAGCAACAGTGTCGTCTTCAATTAGTGAGCTTTACAACTGAGTTCATGTTCTCGTTCCCTAAGATTCATGTAAGTATATCTTATTTGTGAGCAGCACTGTCATCTTCAATTAGTGAGCTTTATAACCGAGTTCATGTTCTCGTTCGCTTAGAGTCTTACAAGCGACGCTGCTTAAGGCAGAAATTTCTATTGGATTTGGAAATTGTTCTGTCACCTGTATTTTCTTACATCACACACCAAATTCGTTTTCACTTCATTATCTTTTTGCTTTAGCATTTTGTAACATCGAAATGGGTACCTGTGTAATTCCATTTTAAACAATGTTATCCAATACTTAACAACACGCAGTTGGCTATGAAAATGTATGTTACAGCGACCAGTTTCACTAGGTACTGCCTTATTTGAAGCATGCCAATGCTTAAGAATCGCTCAAATACAAGGTATGAACTTTTCAAAGGATTTATATACTTAATGCTCCATATTTACGAGCTATGAGTGCAATTTTATAGAAATTCCCTTGGGAAATGAGATAAATTTGTTTTCCTCAAATAATTTATAAACAGAAAACATTGCCTTAGACGCCTATAGCGCAAAGGGCTTACACGCCTTGGACTAGTTTAGTCTTGAGGACATTGATAGTCAAAAATATTTACAATGGCTAACTACTTTCAAATGTTTATTCCAATGTATCCAAATTTCAAGCTTCGATTCAAATTCCACGATTTTCAAAAACAATGACATTGGCTATCTCAAAGTTATCCCCGAGTCAGTTTTACACATGCTTTGACTGAAGAATACATATTTTTAAGACCTATTGACAGTTTTCCCTGACATCCTTTTGTGATCAACGGCAGGTGAGGTACAGCAGGAATCTATCAACGTCGTCACATGCTTTGTGGAAGTGAACAAAGGCACAGTAAGAACGACCACTAGGTGTACATAAATATTTGGAGCAACGTGAATGTAAAACAAAGATATTGTCATCTGTAGAATACTCAGAACGAAACCCTGCATGAATTTCAGATACTAGTATTATATCATTTACTTCAAGCCACATTCTACATCGTTTTGCAACAATAAATGCTGATAGTTTACCCGTGGCATTCACCATAGTTATACCTCTGTAATTATTTGGCTGACTGGCAATTCCTGATTTGAAACTATCATTCCAATATTCCATGCATCGGAGACTATACCTGTGTCAAGGATTACATTGAATTAAGCAATAAATATGGTATTTGATAATCTCCTCATATCTTGTATTTTTCTAAAACGCTTTACAATCTCTTCAATACGCTGCTAACTAAATTACTTCACTCAAGTTTATGTTATACAGTTTTGTCTTACGTTCACAAAGCTTTTTTTCAATTCTGATTTTGCACTTACATATTTGTGATTGAGTTGAGAACATTGAGAGTGTGTCGTTGTGGCGAGATCGCTGAGGGTATAATGGCTGCAATGCGGATGGAGTAGCTACTTGACCAGAGACATTCAAAGAAGGTAATCTAGTCTGGACACCTTCAGGTTGTTTTTTCGGGGGCCTGGAGTTCAAATTGACACCTCTAGCGACACGTATATACTACACGTGGTGACCATACATATAGTTACATATGTATCTTCAAAGGTTCAGGACAATATGTCAAAAATGAAAGCAAATGCCACCTGAAGTTTACATCCTGTTTGAAAACTTCTATGTAACATTTTGGGGTCAGACATAGAGGCAGGGAGGAGGAGTCCCCACAAGTACCAACTGTGATCCCCTTCTTGCTCATATTTTTTCCTTTATACATATGAATCGGAATTTCTGCTCTGACTGGCAAAATCCAATCAAGGTAAGTTGACCAAGAAGTTTACTTTAGCTTCAGGTATATCCGTGATCTGATATCGTTCAATAACAATCAAATACCCAATTCCTTTCCACTGATTTACCCATCTGTACCAGAAATAAAGGAGACCAGTGAGCCTGTCTCATCTGTTTCATATTTCGAGCTATGCATAAAGATTCAGAGTGATAAAATTCTCCCCACAAGTCCGTATATCAAGAGGGATGACTTTCCAATTGTCAATGTTCCCTTTACGTTGAGCAATATTCCAGCAGCTCAAGCCTTTGGTGTCTACATTTCACAGCTTTTCATGAACAATCAAGCATGTTCTTTCTTCGAAGATTTCAAAGAGCGTCATACGACTCCTGATCAAAAGTTGTTTAACAAAGGTAACGCCATTCAAGGCC